CGGGGCGTGACCATATATAGGGTTTAGGGTTTAGCCCGCGCACCCTCCAGCCCCAAATACTTCTTATTGCTGGTGTAGCTCATGTTTTTTTAACTTCAGTGCCTATTTCTTGTGGCCTATTTCTTGTGGTAGACTGCGGGTGAGGAAGCAGATGAGCTACTGTCCCCGTATGCCTAGACAACCCTCTTCAACGAGTTCAAACTATAACTCTTATGAACTTGAAGATCGATTCGCAATCTGCCTGCGCTCTCTGCTGAAAACTCTTCTGGCGGCTCCTGGCGCAGAGCGGCCATGCTTTCGGAAGTGACCCTAATTATCCCCCTAAATAACCCTAATAGTAGTCCCCTTATAATCTCCCATATACCCCCCCCCCCTTAAAGGAGTTTAGCCGCTAAACCCTGAACCCTATATAATCCCCTATATAACCCCCCTATATAGCTCTTATGAAGCCTTGCAGCTCCTTATAAAGGGGATCATGTAGCGGACTACTATAAGGGTTATTGAGGGGAATACTAGGAATTTAAACTATAGCTCCCACGAACACGAGAGAGAGAGAGAGAGAGAGCACTAGAAAGAAAGTAGCCTGTTCAGATGTAAAGTTGCCGAAACAGAAGCTGTGCACCGCATGAGGTCAAGAAGGGAGCAGACTTCAAGCTACCTTTTCAACTCCTGCTTGGGCTCTGCTTCCTGCTTCACCTCTTCGGATTTTGCTGGTTCCTGCCGACACCCCCGACCCGCCCCCCAAATGCAGAGCTTCTGGGCTCAGGATGTTACTGCCAAAAGTAGATAATGGAAAAGAAAATGGAAACTACGATAATGGAGAATCAAATGGAAAAGAAAATGGAAAATGAAATGGAAACTGGGATTATTTCTGTATTGAGAGGCTTTCGGATCTTGGGATGAAGGACGCGAAGCTGTTGATTTGGCCATGGGCGATTGGACTTCAAGAGCCTTTCGCTTCTGCTTCTCGGGCTTTGTGGCCTTGCATCTTGAGGATGCGAAGCATTCACAGAAGCCTTTTACAGAACGGCTTTATAGATTGCAAGGCTCCAGATGTTAGCTACAGTCAGTGATGCCAATATGTTTAATCTCATAGAGATGGGTTCCTATTAGTTAGGTAGCTTATGTGTGGGAATGGTGAGGTGATGCGAATTTTTTATGCCCACACCCTGGGGAGACAATGGATCCCACTCTTTCCCGTTGCTACCCAGACCACCAAATGGATCCTAAAATCAGGGAATTATTCTTGGATCCCCCCCAGGGGTCTGGGAACATTACCACTTCCATCATTCTAAATCTGAACCTTCATTGCAAGCCTCGAGTGTACCCTTAAGACGGTTAATATGTGGGTTGTTCTCAAAATTATGGGCCCCTTTCTAGTACAAATTATTTTACGGCACCTAATATTCAAAATTACCAAAATGTGACCCTAATTCTGCGAACTACCCATGTAGCTACGAAAGTAGCGGCACTTAGTTCAACGTATCGCAAGCGCCTTTTTTTAGTTCTTCCAGACACCAAGCACTAGCTCTTTCCCAGCTACCTCTGAGTCTCAGGCTGAACCATTTTTACAATCCTAAACCCTAAACCCTAAACTCTTAACCCTGAACCCTAAACTCTACACCCTGAGCCCTAAACCCTAAACCCTAAACCCTACAACGATCAAGTGCACAAAGCCCAAAGTGCTATGGTTGGCACCAAAAGCTGCTGGCCAGCTGGCCCCAGCCGTGTCCCAAAACTCCATGCGCTCAACCATAGTATATTTATATATGTATATCTATATATTTCCCCCCTACATAACTCTATATTACCCTATATAACTCTGTAATACCCTATATATAACCCTAAAATATAACCCTGGAGTACACGTCTATATACCCAAAAGCCCCAACCTCGGTGGAGTCCGCGCTCATGCTTTAGCAGGGAAGGACTGCCTTCCGGTCACCTGTCCAGAGCGTTTTGGGTTTAGGGCAATATAGGGTTTACGGCTTAGGGCTTCGGGTCTAGGGTTGAGGCGCTTTTCGGGTCAGAGGCGGGGATGTTCCAAGCTAATACTGCTGACTTTGCTCACGAGGAACTATGGGCAACTCTCCTTCTAGCTCTGTGATAATTTCCCAAAGTACAGGGACCACAACCCAATATAGACCTCAATATACCATAACCCTTTCTGGGCGCCCTAAAGTAATGCCTCCATTTTTGGGAACCTCCCCCTCCCTGTGTCTTGTTAGGGCCTCATGGGACCCGAGACGAAAGCTTCTCGAAGCCCCGATGTGAGTGTTGAAGGCAAGCCGAGCCTATATCTTACTGAAAACAAGTACGGCATAATAGAATACAATCCCTATACATATTCAATGTACACATATATATATATAGAATTCCCTTTATAACCTGATCCTACCCTATATATACCCTTGTATCATACCCCTATATTCCCTTATTCCCTACTAGCCCCCAGTAAGGTAAGCAGTGGCCTGCGTTGCAGAAATGAGCAAGCACGCCGGCAGCCCATGCATCAGCAGGCATTGCCAGGAAAAACGGCTGCAAGGGTTTTCCTTTTCGGGGTCGGTGGTTTTGCGAGCTGATGCCTGAGGGCAAAAAGGCAATGTAGGGGTAACATATAGGGTAACATAGGGTTTTAGAGAATATGTATATATATATATATCTCTCTCTAGGTATAGGTATGTATGTAATATAGGGATCTGGCTTCGTGCTTTGGCCCGGGGCTTGTCGGATTGGCTTTGAAATCTGTGTTGCTTTTTTGGGGTGTCGGGGTAGCGTGTTGCGTGGGAGCTTGGTGGGCTGGTGCCTCGATGGCGGGCTCGAGTCTCTCGCGTATACATTCATAAGCTTCTGTTCCAGGTTGCTTCAGAAGTGGCTTTGTAACCAGGAAGCATGCGCGTTGGACATGGACGATCTCTCCTAAGGTAAGTGCGCCGGCATTGGCAGCTTATTCAGCACCTGAGACATGCATCATGACAATGGATTGGTCGCTCCCTATTGTCCGGAGCTTTGTACTGTTGACTGGCTGTTGAGAAAGACAAACGGCGAACAAGGAGCAAGAGATGCGGGGGTTAGATAGGGATAGTGGAAAAGAAAAAAGAAACTACTTTCATATAATAGGGATCATGGGATAATTGAGAAGGAAATGAACTAATATAATAGGGACCATGGAATAATGGAAACGAAAATGGAAACTACTGTCATTGGCTGATTCTGGCCATCTTGATGCTGCGGGGATCTGAGTAGCGCATGGCAGTTGGACTCCAGCGTGTCAATGGGAAGAAATAGATCGTGTAGACCTTTTGTGCTGCAAAAGTCATTTGTGCTTTGGATGACTCCTATCAGATCTTGGCAACTTTGTTCTCATAATTAGCTACGCAACTCTGCCTCTCGGAACTCCGAAACACAAACTGCTTTGGCAAGGTAATCCGGCTGGTATGGGCGGATGTGTCTAAAGCCCATCAGTTGTTCATCAGGCACCCCTGACTAATGAAGCCTTTGGAACTCTGTCACCATGTGAACTTGTGACTCAATCAGCGGTTCCTTTTTGGGAGTCCTTGCAACAAAAAATCTAGCATAGTATAATACCTCAATGCTAGTCTGCACTCCCACTGAACTGCATCTCGTCACGTTGTAGGACAGGCTGCTAACCTCCACAACTCGCGGAGCTACTACAAGGCTCACGGGTCATTCTAAGCGCGGATTGACATGGTGTCTCAATTGGGTTGAGGTTCCTGCTGCCTCGCTCCTGCCAGGTCTTCCACAGCCCTATTCTTGCAGGAAGCGTTTTATGATGGCGCAGTATCGTTTTCCACTACCCTGTACTTTCCCAAAGACCACGCACCCAACGAATTCTGGGCATTCCACCTTCAAATAGTGCTGTGGTGCTTCGTGGAAGCGCTCTACGATGAAGGTCTTGTCGTCCTGAGGATATTTTGGGGATGCCCAAAAATTTCATGGCCCCCTGTCGGGAGTATGGGGGTTGAGGGTTGTCAAGGCTCTGTCAACGTTGATTTGGAAACTATGACTCTCCTCTCCCGAGAGAAGACGCGCTGAGGACTCTTGCACTCTCCCGCGCGAGCGGAGATGCAACGTGCGCGTACTCATGGCTAAGCGCGGGTCTCGCATGACAAACGCCCTTGCAAAGCCCATCATCAAAAAGGCGGTTGTAGCCCTTGTACCAACAAGTCTCCAGCGGGGCTCAAACTAGAGCTATCCAGGTAGGATCGAGTGAGCCGAACTTACTGGCACCCCAGGAGGCCGGATAAGGGTAGGCAGGGAAAAACAGTTGTTCAAACTTTCCCTTATCCCTACCTACAGCCTTCCTGCCCTTTCAAACAAACAGAAACATGGACTGCGCACCCGTTCTCAGCACAAACACTTAGATAGCGGCTAAGGGCTGGATGTGCTGCAGCATCTCCCGTGGGATGGATTGCCTGGCCAAATGAGGTTTGTTTATTTTCATGCCATGTAATTCCCTAAGGGTCCAGGTATGCAAATGATACCTACGCCTAAAGTCTGTAAATATTACCTACATTGGGCTAGTTGGATCCCTAGGGTACCCTAAACCCTACACCCAGAACCCTAACCTACATTGGGCTATTTGGATATCTAGGGAGTGTTGTAGAATTGTTGGCATCATCGTGGGTATGATATGCTTTCTGCAAGGTTCTGGCTCATGCTCCTCCTGCTATGTTGCTTGCCAGTGTCTTCTTGAGTTCAAAGATGGCACCCCTTACTAGCCTGCATTGTTCTGACCGATAAAGTATGGGATCCTTTACAACCCCTGCCCCCTTACTCCCTTGCCGAAAAAGAACCCCAGGCTGTATCTGGGGAGGGGGGTTCGGGAAGGATGCGGCAGAGGCTCTCATGATCTAGATTTTAAGCCCTAAACCCATACACTGCTGCTCTGCTGCTCCAAGCCAGCCCAGGCCTCTCTGCCCAGCCTTTCGCATCCTTGCCATGCAGCCAGGTGAACAATGTTGTAGGATTTGGGGGGTTCCCCTAACTAGGGCTACCTTTTTGGGGGTCCGCAGCGTTACTGTTGCATAAGACTTAAATACAGCATCACAAAGGTCTGGTACTTGTAGGTTGATTTCATGACAAGTTTGTTGTGTTTGCACTCAGACTGAACAAGCAGTTGCAGCTTTAGTTTGGGCAAGCTTGCTGCGGGAATTCTGTCTGCCCCTTCTTGACAAACTCTCTGGCCAGACTGCCTGGAATGCTCACACTACGAACCCCCCCCTCCCAGTCCTGCATGCCAAAGGAGAGGTGCCGGATGGAGTGTGAGACCTCATGGGCTCCATTCAAACTTCTGAAGAAAGCATTGCACTGCCCGAATGTCAAGTGCAGGAATCAAGTCTCTTGGCATCTGTCAAGAGCCTGTCGCCATAGCTGAGATCTCGCGTGTGTGATGTGCTACTCGACCCTGCTCTGTTTGATGTCACTGGCGTTACCACTAGCTGACTGCATCCCTCAGAACTTACCTTCGGCTAGCTGGGAGTGAAGGAACGGAAAAGAACATGGAAACTACCACCATGGGTTATATTATGGGGACTACAACCAGAATCCATTCCTTCATTCCTAGCTAACCAGAGGCCAGGTGAATCCAGCCCAGAAGACCTTCTAGGAGTCCGCAAGCTCCTGAGCACAACTTGAAAGCCTGTCTGTCCAGATATCTGCATGAACTGGTACTACGACTTCCTGAGTGACTTGGA